TTATTACTACGGTTTATGTAATATCCTGTAAAAAAAAAGTTGGATACAAGTCTCCCTATTTGAGTGTTCACCCGGTTTAAAATCGTGGATCTCGAGGAACATACGAATTCATTCGACCAATCAAAAACGTGGAACTAGTTCGAGAGTCTCGTTCAGGTGGCGCGTCGACGCGCCAAAACACAGCTCCAGATTATCACGCGTAGTATTACTATATATACACGACCAATCAAAAACGTGGAACTGCTTCGAGGACCCTCCGCTAAGGTGGCGCACCGAAACCAGAGAAAAATTGAGACCACCAGAAACAGGCTCATTGGCAATCTCCCTACTCATCTCTGCCCTGACCACGTTGTAGATCGTAACCCTATATATACACGACCAATCAAAAACGTGGAACTGCTTCGAGGGCCCTCCGCTAAGGTGGCGCGCCGAAACCAAAGAAAAATTGCCTTCACCAAAAACAGGCTCATTGGCAATCTCCCTACTCATCTCTGGTAACCGTAACGTGGACAATTTTGCCCGCAAGCGCTAGTGTCGAAGAAGCCAGGTGAAACAGCGCATGCGCATCCGTAAATTCACTGCAACCTCTTATCTCCAATTCAAAAGGAAAGTTACACACAAAAAACCGATGCGATGCCAATTAAATAAAATGTAACAATCTAATTTTAAAGTTAGACAAATAAAGAATTGATTATTTAAAAAACTGAAGTTAAATGGACCAATTCACCTAAAAGTCATGAAAATTGAATGGTGCTATAATTGCGTATATACTGAAAACTTTTAACTTGATGAAAATTCCTCTGGACAAGTACAAAAAGTGAAATATCTGCACAAGTAGAATTTTTTTCGTAGCTAAGTTCAATAGTACAAATATTTTCTCTTCGTTGCACTTGTTGAATTTATGTTGCATCACTATATGAAATTGATTCCACATGGTCCAATTCTCTTTGTAAAAAGACTTTCTCCGGTTTGAGTGTAGGAATTTCCAATGAATAATCTTTCACAAGAGATATACTAACGTATACAGTCAATTTTTGCTTGTGTCGTAACTTTTTTACTGAATTTATTTGTAACCCCTGTGAGATTTTCAAATGCAAATTCGTACCATTGTGATTCAAGCAGACACGATGCATTTTCTGATGATTCTTGCTTCTTTCAATTCCAATTACGGTATATATCACACATTACGAGCACAGCTGCAGATTCAAGAAAAAGATAACTGTGCACGCGTAGTGCTACCACGTGATTCGCTCTATCAACACTAACGCCTCTTGCGGTAGATCCACCTTAAGGTTATGCGTTTTTCGCCTAAGTGCCCAGAACTGTATACAAGATCGTGATTAAGATTAAATAAAAAAAAATGGCAAAATTACTAGAGTATGAAGAAAACCGGTCAAAAAGGCGGATTTTTAGAATTTCATTTGTTAAATAAAAATATGTAATTTTTTCTTTAGTTTCTAATTTTTGTAGGGGCGATAGTCAATGATGTATAGATATAGTGTTAAAATTTTAAAAAGATCGGACGATTACTTTTTTAATATCATCTGCGCCAGGTGAAAAAAAATAGTTTCAAGATAAATCGATTTAAAGTTTGATATTGACTTAAAACTTATTAAACGCTGGCTGGGTTTTTCCTTTCTAAAGTCCGATCGATTGGGAATTGCTCGATAAAATTTTACAACTGAGTTCTTAAAAGTATGTATTATCGAAAAATTAAAAAAAAATTTGATTTTTTTAAAGTTGAAACGTAAGAATAAGGCCTTAAATGATATACTTATGAACAATTAATTGTTTCATTTTGTGAGCAACAACGATCGGTGTATGCATCGTTTTAAAAAGTGACTATCACCGGTATATGTGTCATAATCCAATATGGTGGGGTTTACAACTTAACCTTGTTGCACTTAGCGTGAAACACGGTCGCGTCAAAAGTCAAGTCCACGAGTAACGAGGAGTAACAATGGCACCCGTGGATTTTTCTCCAGCAGGTAACATGAGCGGATTTGAATTGGTGTGTTCCCTGAAATCAAATGACATCATTCCTGTCCATAAATACAAATCCACGAACACGGGTCTTACTGTGGTAATAGCTGAGGTCGACGGTCCAGTTGTTTGTGGATATCTCTGCCTTGGTAAGTTGAATTAACCTTAAACACAATTGACTAGAAATTATAGTTTTCTAATCAATGGTAGACTTTCCTAAATACTCCTACCATTATTAGAAGTAGTATTTCCTTCGGGAAAAATATTTTTAAAAATGTTCTTTATTCACTAGCCACTGAAGCCTTTGATGATGATGGACTACCTCATACTTTGGAACATCTTATTTTCATGGGAAGTGAAGAATACCCATATAAAGGTGTACTTGATCTGTGGGCTAATAGATGTCTGGCATCTGGTACTAACGCTATGACAGACACCGATCACACTTTTTATACGATGACTACTGCTGGTAGTGAAGGGTTTCTTTCATTATTGCCTGTGTACCTCGATCATATTCTGTATCCTACACTTTTGGTAAGAATGAGAATTAGTATTGTTTGACTGATTTATTTCTTGGAAATCTATTTGATGTGTCCTAATATCGTTATGATTGCCAAGAAAGATTGCATGTTCATGAACAGCTGATAAAAATCTTTTACTTTCTATGACCAATTGATCGTTACAGTTTAATAGTCTCTCAAAGTACTCCTTTTTTTCCTTAATACTAAATTTAATTAGCTGCTTGGATAAAGTTTCTTAGTTTAAGTCTGATTTCTAAATGCAATTCTATAAAATATATAAAAAGGACGAAGGAAGGAAAGAAAAAGTATTTATTACATAAAAATAATTAAAGATAATGCAGTGATTATTTCAAATTGAAATTATCTGAGTAGATAAAGCACTGAGCATCACAAGACGTAATCACAAGCTATAATGATAGGGGTCAGTATCAAGTACATATCAACAACTATTATAAACAGCAGATCTTTATTGCCAGTTGTAACAATATAATTAAATATTTAACTCACTCTATATTATACATTATTTTCGTCCATTTATTAATATGTACGATTATATTGAAAATTTAAATTTAAATTCATTCCAAATAATATTTTCATTGTACTTTAGGATTCCGCATATATCACCGAAGTGCATCACATCACAGGAGAAGGTGAAGATGCAGGAACAGTATATTGTGAAATGCAAGGAAACGAAACTACGGGAGAAGTCATGGTATACAGAGCATTGTGGAGAGCTATGTATCCAGGTCACTGTGGTTACAAATCCTACACTGGAGGTAAGTATCATTTTATATAATTAAAAAGTTATCTGAGAAACAGAAATCCTAGAACAGTTTCTAATTACGAGATTAATAAATCTTTGTCTTCTCATTGCCCAGGTGCTCTAAAGAATTTACGAGAGAGTACCAATAACGAAAAAGTTAGGAATTATCACAAAGAATTCTACAGGACAGAAAATTTAACAGTTATAATAGCTGGCCAAGTTAAACATGCTGATGTCTTCAAGGCCTTACATCCAATAGAGGCGAAAGTTATGTCAAAGGTATACAATACTATAATTACTTATTTAGCCATTATCAATTAGCTTTCTCAATTAATAATAATATTTTCAAAGGGCAGCAAAGGTCCTTTTACAAGGCCTTGGCAGAATCCAGTACCACCGCTTACTGAAAGTGTGGATCTGGACATTCATTATCCTTGTGATGATGAAGACAATGGTATTGTTAATGTAGGATGGCGAGGTCCTTCTAGCGTTACCGAACTGTATGATCTTATTGGATGTTCTATGATCCTTAAGTATCTTACTGATAGCTCAGTGAGTCCTCTACAAAAGGAGTTCGTGGAAATAGATGATCCTTACGCTAGTAATGTCGCATACTCCCTAGCTGACAATTCGATATCACTCTTATACTTGGCCTTTGAGAGTGTTCCTAAGGAAAAGATTGGTCTTGTCAAAGATCGTCTTATAAAAATTCTTTCTGATATAGTTACCAAAGATAATGGTATTGATATGAAGAGATTGCGTACTGTAATTTATAGATATACGCTCGAAACCCTGAGTGATTTGGAGAACAGTCCACATCATTCTGTGGCATATAAGATCATTGGTGACGCCCTTTATGGAAATACGAAGGACGACGTATGTATCCTCATTAAACTAGAAAATAGCATATGTTAATAGTTGATTGTATTTCATCATGCATAATTTTTTTGACTAATTTATAGCTGAGTCAGAGGTTGAATGAGGTTGAGGATCTAGGAAAATTAAGCGCAGAACCGGAGTCATATTGGGTAAATCTCATTAAAAAATACCTGGTAGATGCACCAATTGTAGTAGTCAAAGGAATTCCTAGTATTGAAACACAGCGAGAAATGGCTAGTTTGGAAAAAGAACGTATAAAGAATCAAATAGAGAGATTGGGCGAAGAAGGTCTCAAACAAAAAGAACGTGAACTTCAGGAAGCTATTATTCATAATGAGGTAAGTTAGGTTAATTAATTATTTACTGATACGCTTTATTCCTTATTACTGTAGTAAGCGTATCTAGTGGCTAATTTTCTACAAGATTTATGTGTCTTAACGCGTAAGAAACTAAACACAGAATTAAAGTGCTTACATTTTTTCGATTCTAGAGACCAATTCCTGATGACATGCTAATGTCAGTATCTATCCCAAGCACAGATTCTATCAATTTCCATCACATTAAAAGCTACACGTCTGATACAACAGAACAACATCCAAAACTAGATGTGGGTAACTTGCCATTCTACACTTATCTGGATCATGTCAACACAAACTTTGTCTATGTGAGTATTTGTTTTCAGAAAAGCATTCGGAATGGGAAGATTTAAAATATATTTCCCTAAATCTAAGTTACTTCTTATAGATGCTTGTCGTCCTGGATACTTGTTTTATACCGAATAATCTGAGACCCTACATTCCTCTGCTTTTGGAATCCATTTTGGAATGTCCTGTTAAAAGAAATGATCAACTCATTCCTTATGAACAGGTTGTTGAAGAATTACAAGGAGATACTGTAGCAATTAACATTAAAATAGGTTGCGAAGATAGAGGTAGATTTTCATGTGGATCCTTTAGCCACAGTGTCACTTTCTTGCTTCAGGTATATTTTAGTATATTTTAAATTTTACATAAATTGCTTATTTGAAAGTGAAACTCCTTGTAAATAATTGTGATGCATCTGTTCACAGTTTGAACCTGCTAAATACCCTAAAGGTGTACAGTGGATTAAAGAGCTTTTGTACGAAACTGAATTAACACCAGAAAGATTAAAAATCATAGCCGCAAAAATGATAAATGATGTTGCCCAGGCAAAACGAAACGAAAACAAGGTTACTGGTGATCTTATGAAGGATTTAATATACAACAAAGGTAACTGTTTTGTCAAAAGTATCATTTATGAACTGTACTGGATGAATTTCGAAAAAATATTTTTCATTAAATATAAGTAAATCCATTCTACGCTTACTATTCAACTAATATAATTCTAAACAAATTATATTAATTTAAAAAACATTGTTTACCTTTTAGATAGCAATCACTTCGCATCGAGTATGTTGCGTCAACAAAAGTTCTTGACGAAGGTAATGGAGCGATTGAGCAATGAAGCTGATCAAAAAAAGGTTGTGGCAGAGATCGAAGAAGTTCGCAAAGCTCTAACCACTCCAAAGAACATGGTCCTCTACATAGCGGCTAACGTGGATAAACTGGTAGCTCAAATTCCTGACATTTATACACCATGGAATACGCTATTTGCTAATATGGATAACTGCGAGAAGTCAAAGTATGTGAAACTTACGACACAACGGAAAAAATAAAATTACAAAAAATTATATAATTAAATTTTTTATTCTGTAGGCTTCATGTTACTCCTGACTGGTTTCTAATGAAGTCTCCTGACAGTGAATCCATTAAGGGTTGTGTAACTGGCCTAGGTTGTACAGAATCTGCATTTTTCTCTCAGTGCAGCCCTGGCATCAAGGATTTTCAAAGTCCTGATCTGGCTCCATTACTGGTTTTTTTACAGTATTTCACACAGATGGAAGTAAGGATAAATGAACAGTTTAAGGTTGAACATGTTTTCTGAAAAAGTACTTAAGTAGTCCATTTTTTTGCAGGGTCCAATGTGGAGACAAGTTAGAGGGCAAGGTCTAGCTTACAGCTATAGCATATTTCCGAAACCTCACGATGGGCTTTTATATTTAACCTTTTACAGAGCAGCCAATGTAGTAGCAGCATATAGGGAATCCAAATCTATTATTGTAAGTAACTTCAAGAATAGCTCTAAGAGTAATCTCAGTTATAAAGAATGCTGTATTCACAAATACAGTAGTGCCCTCGTATCCGCAGGTAATAGGTTGCAAGACCGACCACTATCGTGATATTTGTCTCTTTCTCTCTCTGAAAATACAATCCCTGTATTATATGGTACCATGTGCAGTTTCAAGGAATAACAAAACAATAAAATTCATAACGAAGACGCCGATAATTGAAACTGCGGATACTGAATTAGCGAATACGAGGACATGACTGTAATTTGCTAATACCTGTTTTAAATCATATTTGTTACTTTAGGAAGCACATCTATCGGGTGATAAATGGGAACGTTTACTATACGAATCGGCAAAATCATCTCTAATTTTCGAAATGATTGAGAAAAGAATGAGCATCGGGGACGTGGTGACCGAATCATTATTATGCTATTTCCAGAACATAACGCATGAATATGATTACCAGATGGTGCAGCGCATATCGGCCGTAACATTAGAAGATATGAGTCGCGTAGGATCGCAATATATAAAGCGATTGTTCGATCCGAAAGAATGTAAGACCGCTATTGTCTGTCATGCATCAAAAGCTGCTGAGATCACTGAAGGTTTCAAACAGTAAGTATCAAACCCTATTTTTCCTGATTACATTTTCATTTCTTTGTGTTGCAAACATCTCATTAAAATAATACTTCACTATAAATATTCGAAATAATAGTATTTCCGTATTCGATTTCTATTAATTTCGTCTATAAATATGATATAAAGATACTTGTTTCATTCCATTAAACAAAATTTCCTGAATGCACGTATATAAAAAGAGAAGTTTTTTGCTTTTATGTCTATTTACCCTATTTCCTTTTTGACGTTGCAGTGATTTTAAATTGTGATTAACTGTAAGCAGCTGGAAAATTTAATGTAAAACTTCTTTTTATGTTACAGATTCAATCTTGAGCTGAAACTTTATAATACTCTTGAAGAAAGTTTCTTAAATGATTGGTAAAAAGAAGAATAATCGCGTTGATCAACCTATATATTCGACTTGAATTATTGGAAAACGTTCTGCCTCAAATTCCAGTTCAATTTATAGTATGTTTTATGAAATTTGAGTCATAGATTCTGAATCTTTAACATTTAAACTTTTATATATACACTGATGCAAAGTTATACTGAGAACCTAAAAAAATGTAACTTTGTAACATTCAGAATGAAGAGAATTATAAGAAGTGCATTTTTAAATAAGATACAAGAGAAACACTGCATTTACTAAAGAATATATTCTTGTGGGTACTGCTTTTTCAGTATTTAAGACAGTGATCTTTTTTTTTTATATTAAATCGGAGAGAGAAAAATAGTAGAGTCCTAGAATCAATTCTATCAATGTACAATATGTTTTTAATTTCTCAAAATGCTTGAAAACAAAAACTTAACTTATTTATTTACCCTATGAATCTACATCCTATGAACACTCCTTTTATTTTCTTATATGTACAGTTTTATAATCCATCACATGAATATTACGATTACATAGAGTAATAGAACATTTTTATAAGTTATAATTTTTAAAAATATTTTCTATCACTTGTTTACCTACATATAAACCATTCTATAAAAATATCCTCTCATTTTTTTTAGAGTTGAATGACAAGAATCGTTCCATGATTTACACAGAGATGAGTAGGGAGATTGCCAATGAGCCTGTTTTTGGTGGTCACAATTTTTTCTGGTTTCGGCGCGCCACCTTAGCGGAGGTCCCTCGAAGCAGTTCCACGTTTTTGATTGGTCGTCTATATATAGTAATACTACGCATGGTAATCTGGAGCTGTGTTTTGGCGCGTCGACGTGCCACCTGAACGAGACTCTCGAACTAGTTCCACGTTTTTGATTGGTCGAATGAATTCGTGTGTTCCTCGAGATCCACGATTTTAAACCGGGTGAACACTCAAATAGGGAGACTTGTATCCACCTTTTTTTTTCAGGATATTACATAAACCGTAGTAATAAGGTAGTCAATACCCTTAATATCCATATGAAGCTCTGGAAATAATAGAGTAAGCAAATAAAACTTTTAAAAACTCTCGAATGTGGGTAACTACAGAAATATAAGTTTGCTAAACAATATACCACAATGACTCGATGGCACACGTGTTTTCTGCTGAGTTAACGTCCGAGAGTCTCGGGTTCGAGACTGACGTCTTACCTCTTTTTTCTTTTAATTATCAACTATGCTTATTAGTTTACCTAATTAACTGAAGTTTCATGAAATACAT